CCTTAATGCCGACACATCCTCGGAAAATTCTTGTTGTGGATTTTGTTCGTCGTAATCACAACTATCTATGGCAACCTCATTGACTTGTCGGTTAGGTCGTATATGGGTAGGTGCTGGTCTTGGGTCACGTCTGGGGAAATTTTTCTCAGCCTCTTTGCATTCTATTCGAAGCATTTCTACAGTTGCTATTGTCATGGGATACACAACAGCTTTAATATTGTCTTTTACATTTACTTTTATTATATTTATAGTGTCTTGGTCCGTAATAGGATGCATCAGACGGGATCTTAGTTGTCCCATGGCATGGAAATAGGCATCTACCGATTCGTTAGCCATCTGTTTGCGTTCCACGAGATCACGCATGGCTTCGAACGGAGATTTGGTCGTTCGATATTGGCATAGCAAGGCGTCTTTTAATTGAATCCATCCGGAGAAGTTACGAATCTTCTGCGACTGCCAAAACCAATCCAACGCTGGACCAGAAACTAGTACCCTGAAATCCCTCACTATCTCTTCCCATGGTACCCCATATTGAGACTGCAGTCGCTCTAGTCGGAAGATAAACTCCTCGACGGTGAGTTTTTGAGGATTTCCATCGAAATTTATACCAAATTTGTCGACTCTAATACGTATTGGTTCATTTATTACAGAGGTCAGACAATAATTACTATTCGATGGTATCGACTCTGTTGACGGGCAATTCCCGGACGCCGCAGCAACTAAGGCGTCTCGTTGACCCGCTGAAGGCACCGATGTGACATTGATGTTGTTATTGGTCAACGTCTGGATAGTGTGTACCAAAGTATTCAGTGTATTACGCATATCTTCTACCTCACTGCTGATCATTTCTTTCATTCGTTCTTCTAAAGATCTATCACGCATATTCCTAACCGTCGGGGTCACAAAGCGTTCGGCTCCCCCATCGTCTCCGTGCGGCCCTGATTGCGCATTATTGGCCCCTACTGGCCGATTTATAATTGAAGCCGAAAGGTCCCTAATCTGCTCATTTGATTGGGATGTGGGATTTTCTCGAGTAGCCATTTTTTTCCTTTTCAAATCTATTTTATCTTGATCTGAACCTTCATCAAATGCTGGTGGCCAAATTCTTTTCTTCGCCGTTTTAGACCTAGTTAACATTCCCCTATGGAAAATATTATGTTCTATCCTATAGTCTGTTACGAAAAAAAAACGAATATTGTCAATGGAAAAACGTAGATTGTAATAATAAATTCCTTATACTTTTCTATGATTATATAGTTATTTTCTCGGACGTATAATGTATCTATCCAGATTTTAGTCACTTAATATGTTCACTTCTAATTAATTCTTATTGTATGGGAGGTTTTATCGTTGTATTTTCAGAGGAAATGTCAGGAGTTCTTTATTTATTTTTGATATATATATTAAATCTTCACCTTGTAGAATTTTTTTTTTTTTTTTTTTTTTTTTTTTTGAAATGCCTTTATTATCATAATTTTTTTTCCTGCGAGGTTTTTGCTTTTCATTATTTTCCATTTAATTATTAAAGGTGTCGTATATCATCACAATGTCCTTAATAAACACAAATTCTTTGAATATCTACTCAACGATTTGAAACTCATGGCATTTTTTTTATATATAAAAAAAAAGCGTTCATGGTCATATTGCATCTAACACATTTCTTCCGGTTTGGCTTATTTTCCTACCGTGAGATGTTACTACACTCAAATCGTCATCTAAAGATATTCCTAACTACTAATAAACAAAACAGAGCACAGGTCGACTGCACAAAAAACACATAGTTACACAGAACGAACTAGGTATTGCACTGACCCATTGTAGACTTCAATCCGGTCTTAATCCAATCTATCTAAACCTAATATTGCACATTTAACAGTTGCCTCGTGGCTCTGGCTGCAATATTAAATAGGTATCTTGGCATTTAACCAGATTTGCTTGGGCTATTCAAACTAATTGCTGGGCTATTTTCAAGTGCCTTGCTGTTATTGCACTGATTCTACTATCATTGATTTTATGACATAGAAGGATTTTTTTTTTTTTTTTCGATTGGGCGCCATTTCTGTTACGGCTCCATACAAGAATTTGATCGGCACATCCGACTAGCTATCGGCCCCAGGGAGGTCCATAACCCGCCAACCAAATCAGGGCCTAACAAGAATTATTTTCAACATGTATAAACACGAAACAAAAGGACTAACATTACACACACGGAGAACATTGTGATGATTCTGGGTCCTTGGTGGCCGGACCCTCACCTGCCCTCCCTTCCATGGTCCACAGGTCCTCTCTAACATTTATGTGGACCCCAAATACTCCTCGAGTTCGATTCCCCCTCCTACAACGTTTTCACCCCTCCCAAATGATTAATGTCTACTCCATATTCATTTTTATTATATCTCTAAACATATAAATTTATTCATTCTAAAGCATAGTGAATAACAAACAAAACGAACTCACTTATGCTTACCGACAACAATCTCGAACACAAACAAAATATAGAACAGTTTACTTAACACCTATCATGAATTAGGACCTTCAATACTATAGTACTAGGGTTATCGGAATGTTCCTCCGATCCGATTTGACTATGCTTCCTGATGTCCTACCTAATTGAGCTCAGTTAGTCAGTTATATCAGTAGCTTGACACACTCTAGTCTCTTTACCACACAAATACCCTTAGACTTATGTATTGGAATGCCCTTTACAAATAAACAAAATCAATAAAAATCTTATAAATACTAGTTAAAATTGCTAAAAAAAAATATAATTAAAAGTTATGTTACTAAAAAAAATGCAAATAGATAAATATTGACTTAACTTAATAGCTATATCGTAATTTATGTTTTTTCAGCGCCTAACGGACGGCTACACTTTTTGATGCCAGCAAATACAGTCCCAATTCGGACACTTTTCTTTGCACATTCATTATACCACCTGGCGTTTGAGGAGGATTCTGTTATACAGACTGCAATAATTATTTTACTTGTATAATACACCACTACAATAAAATGTCTTAGCTAGGTTTATACCACCGCTACAAGCGTTCAGCAGCTGTGATTTTGTTGTACCGTTTCACTCGCTTCGGGTTAGAAAATTTTCCCCTCTTACGCCAGTGTATTTTATTTGGGTATATTTAATTGTTTCTATTTTTTTGGTTATAATTTGGTGTTTAAATTTTTACTCCACAGTGCGTGTTAAATCAAAATGTCTTTCTTACTTTCTCACACTTTTCCATCGATGTTCCCCTTTTATATGTGACTTTCCCGATTCCCATATATTCCCTAATTTCCCATGTCATTGCTACTCTATGTTGTTCCCTTTTTTTCCTTTTAATTTATTTGTTGTTAAAATATTCATTTTTGGCAACCATTATTTAAAATGTGTTGTTTTTGCCATCCAGCCGCCCGTCATAGTTCAGGGATGGTAAACTTTTGCAGTGTACTTTTTAGTACCCGCTATGTACCAACGCCCGGTATGCTTGACAGCTGACGTTGGGTTGACATTTGATAGTATGACATTGAAATCATAACAAACCGCATACATTTTCTTTTGCCCGAAACACACAACTCAATTTCGACATTTATTCAGAGGAATTGCAGGAGAATTTTAAGGAGTACCTGATACAACGTTGTTGCTCCAGCGTCGGTTTGTACTTTTTGGGCTTCCTGTGATTTCTGCGGCCGACATGCATGTATCTGTGCGACTACAATGCATTCTTTTATTTGCCGCCACGTTATGCCCAGGAGTAGATGACTGACCTGATTGCTTGGCTTGCTTTATCCCAGCCGCAACAACAAATTGTATGTTATGAATAACAAATGGAATTCTCGAATTACATTTGAAATGTTTTGAATAACATGTGAAAAAGGTGTAGATTTGTGTTCCCGAACTTTTGAAATTATTTTGTACTCTGAGAGCAATTTTGAAATGTCTCCCTTTTACTAGTTTTACTATTAAAAAGTACTGGAACAGGCCAATTATTTTCATACTTATACTATACTTGAAATGGCATAATTATTAAAGGTAGTCTCATTTGCTAAATCGATGATGGCAACCCCGGAAAGTCTGTACTTGATTTTGTTATTTTCAGATAAAATTTTTATTTGAAACCGTACCATTTACGTACGAAGAATGACATTTTTGAAAATATTGATATAAATTATTGTTCCCGTACTCTAAAAATCTAGTACTTCTTACTACGATAACGAATTTTTCTTTATGATATCGAAAAAATAAGAAAATCTTGTAGATTCTTGCAGTATGGGAACAGACCATATATTTTATAATAATTTTATTTCAATATTTATATAAAGTCTTATTCTATATAGTCCGTTTCTTTATATTTGCTTCCCTTTTTAAAATTCTCAATGAGAAAATCTCAAGGCAGGACAGTTAATTTTATTTATTAACTTCAGTAGTGTTGGTGGTTATTTGGTTTTGCAAAATAGTCAGGCGAAATCCCAGTTTTGTGAATTTATAAAACAAAATTCACAAAATACTATGTATTTATTTAATTATACAACGGTTTTTTATTGTCATTTTGACTTTCTGCACGGACACATTAGTGATACTTAGTCCAATTTTAGGCCCTTTAATTTCGATGACTCCTCACAGTAAATTTATCGATTAGTCAAATGTCGATCTATAAATCCCTACCATATAAATGACTACACAAACTGCAGCTAACTTCACGTTAATATTAGAACAAGAAGAAACAAGAGAAAACGGTCAAAAAAGTTCGGAGAGAGAGGAAAATAAGTTTCGTTTCTTTGATTATAATCGAAAATATTCATTCTTATTACCAATTTCAAACAAAAATTAATTTGTTTAACAATAATAAATTCATGTAACATACAATACAAAATTTCTTAATAACAAAGCGTGCATGAACAACAAAAAGGAAAGCAAGGAAATCAATTCTACTAGTGTCAACTCTTTGAGTAAGAAAACGAGCTGAAACAAGAAGAAGAAGAAGCAGCCGTGTTATTTAGTGGTGTTGGTGTGTATTAAAAAAACAAGAAAATAAAAATAAAACGAAAGAAAAAATTGCGGCGGTAAATAACAAAATAAAATTTCAATTTCGTATTGATAACATAATGTCGAAAACGAAAAAACAATCATTATCCGGTGGAGGAGGAAATGGTGATTCTTTGGAGATATTGAATTATAAACCTAAAGATTTAGTATGGTAAGCGGAGTGAAATGGAAAAGCTAAGCAAAATTTCAATGGTTGGAAAGAGGAAGAAAAAGTGCTGAAACAGCGGCGGCGGCATCGTTGGCTGACTGCTTAGCTACCGTTGACAATAACTATCATGCGGGGGGCAGGCATTCATTAAGTAGTTTTTTCTTTCAGTTGAGAAAGAAAAAATGGCGCTTAAACATAACCTCAATATATTTATGGTAAATTAAATGGAAATTTCACGGAAAATATTTAATGAAAATTTTGATTTGCATATATGCAGTGTTTTGTATAAAATGTGTAGATGGAAATTTCTATTGTAAAAGGCGAAGATAGAATCTTGATCCATCAGGATTCTTGTGTGTTTATTCTGCTGACGTCTAACAGCAACGCCTTGGCCTCTGCTTTGTTCTCAATTAACATTTGTTGGCAGAGGCCCACAAAAAATCCCGCGCATTTTTTCTTCTTCCTACCTCAAATTGTTAATGGAAATTTTGCTTGATTTTTTTCATGTCATGGAGAATTTGTTATTAATTTTTTTGTTTTCTAGGGCTAAGATGAAGGGTTTTGCCCCATGGCCAGCTATGGTAAGTGAAAATATTTTTTTTCGTTTCTTAAATATTCTATACAAAGGCGAAACAATACTCGGTCAACGTCAACTTGCCTACCTTATCAGTTGTTTTTTGACAAACTTCTTTTCGGCGGTAACGTTGTTGTTGAGTCAATGTGTATTTACACTTCTATTACAACATGTTATAAAACAGCGCTGCTGGCTACTCTGTCAAGACAACAACGCCGTTCTCTGCCGCTACATTCATGATGGCTCTTGGTTCGTTCGTTGTTTTGTGTTTCTTCTGTTTTGTGTGTTGTTATGTGTGCCCTCCTCTTTATTTATTATTGACTGTACTTTTGCGTATACGATGGATGGATGGTTGTTCGTTCGTTCATTGCTTGGTTGGCTGGCTGGTTGGTGGGTTTCAGTTGCTTTGACTGAATGTTTGCCTGCCTGTTTGTGCCTGCTATTATGATTGAAGAATATGTGGATGTTTTGATTGTACTGACAACGGCGGTGTGTACCGTATTTGGATAATTTCGTTTTGGGGTAATGAATGATTGAAAAGAAGAAGAAAACGAAACAAAAATTGAGTTTTGTTTTTTTTTTTCGTTCGTAGAAATTTTTGGCGCAAAAATATGTTATAACTATTTTTACTCTATTTTTTTTAGAGATTTATTAGAAAATCCGCCACGGAAATATTCTGGAAGTATTATATTGAGGGATTCAATGGTAGACGGGAATGTTCGCATTCGTGGACTAATAGGACATAAATGCCATCATTACTTAAGTCTATCTGCCAGTAGATAACTAACTTCACCTCATCACAACCAATCTGCTATTCCAGAAACTAGCCACTTATGGTCACAAATTTTACTGTATAAATCCTAAAGCTATGATCCAATATGCTCAGCTAACAAATTATACTGAAGATATCAGCTAGAAACGTATACAGGATAAGAGAGCAATGTTAGCATATATTGAATAATAGGACACTAATGCAATCATTAAATAGATCAAATCTAACCGCTTGTAGTGAACATCAGCACATCAAGAATATGCTGTATTTGCAGATACGAACCTTTTATGAAATTTGTAACGATTTTCATAGAAAGAACCGTAAAAAAATACATTAGGGTATCAACTAAAAAGGTATAAAAGATAGGAAAGGCAATGTAAATTTAAATCTATATACTTCACCTCTTCACAACAATGCTGTTTGGATTTGGTATCACATTTTTTGTTAAATATCAAAGAAGAAAAATTTGATTTTTCATCCTAATCGGTTATTGTTTCAAAATATACCGTATGATCCTGAATGCTATGGACAAATATGCTCCAAAAACCTATGTGCAATATGGTCTTGCAATTTAAATTGGTTAATAATGTTCCAATCTTGTGATTCAAAATCCCAAGCTTCCGAGGATTTTTATAAATTCCACAGTACTAGTCATGATCCAATATGCTTGAATGTCAGAATATCGTAACTATTTTGGGCTAGAATATAACTGACTTTTTCAGGTCGACTTAGAAAATGATTTCATATGTATATCAGCTGGTAATGCTACAGATAATCGAGAAATTGGGGACATCTATTGATATATTTCAAATCCTATCTTGTATGTAGCAGAGTTGTTCCATACAAGGAATACCACAAGGACTGAAGAGTTGAGGCTACCTTTGGTAAACCCAGCTCAGCATGATCCGCTAATACATATACCCCATATACCGCCCAGGCATGCCAAGAAGTATATTTCTGATCTAGAGAGAAAATTCCAGAGGTATAAAATTGTATTCACATTGTTGTTCTTGTATTCACATTGCTGTTCTCGGTAGCTGCTGCTAACTGAGATCAGGGTATTTTAGCCCCTTAAATTCATATTGGTCGTGAATTGATGGTATCCACATGACACGCTACACATCTTCAGTTGCATATCCAAGGGGATGGCGTCTACTGCGAAAGGCTATGTATATAAGTTGGATAGCAACTGTAGTGTTTGATAAAAATTCTGGATACAGATATCGATGAACCGGTGACCGGTGTAGAGCAGTTTTGGAAACACTAACAGCTATTGACTGTGCCGGGTACCAGGACACTGTGACATCATGGGTAATGAAAAAGCAGACGAACTAGCTAGCCTTTTAATAACAATAAACAATTTTATTATTTTCCACGATTTAAGTGACAACATTTTTTTATTCTTATTATTTATATACTATTACCTTCATATAAAGTACTAATTATTAAAAGTATACAAATTACCATCATCATCTTCACCATATTTTACCGTGGGAATATTTAAATGTTGACTGCGCCTCTTTTCGCGCACATAAAATATTGCAAAAACTATTGTAGCCAAAAATAATGGTATACCTAATATTAGTGACATTATTTTAGCAATAAACATTGATGTTGTTTCACATATTGTTTGAAATTTGAAATTAAGTGATTTTTTAAAACCACTTTTACATTTACAATAACCATCTAATAGACATGCACCATTTTCACAAGATTTACCATTACACATAGATTCCTCTTCACAAGCATTTGGATTTCTTGTTGGATGATATCCCGGCCAACATTTACATTCATCCCGACCAATACAATCAGCATTTTCACATGTCTCCCGACACAGGGGTACACAATGACTAGCATTCATTTTGCGATATCCCTCATAACAATAACATTCATCGTAATTATGCAAGCAATAGCCATGCTCTGGATTTGTACATGAACAATTTTTCAAAACACATTGTTTTTCATGGATGTCGGGACGAAATAGTTCATCGTCACACATTAATTCACATTCACCATTTTCCGGATTCATAATGTAGTTCTTAAAACATTCACATTGTTGTGGTCCAGTACATACGGAAATTTCTGCTGGACATTGGGGATCATCACAAATCGGTTCACAATGAAATGAACCTGGTCGTGGCTTTCTGTAGCCATCATTGCAAATACAAGAATTTGGATTATGCTCTGGACAATAACCATTCTCACAATGACATACTAGTTGACACGACTTGGATGTTTTATTCCAAAAATAACCAACATTACATTCACAGATATTGGGTGCAAGGCATACACCGTTATCACAATTCTCGCAATGGGCTATACAGTGTTTACCTATTTGAATATAGCCACTGCAACATTTTGGTATTGTTACCATCTGCAAAGAAAGAAGATGATCAAGTGGATGTGTTTAGTTTAGTTAATAATGATTAGAAACTCCTTCCTTATTAATTGCATCCATCTTTCATTTCATTTCATTTATTTCATACAATGTAATATAAAAAAGCCAGCATGGCCAATAACTTATATTAACTTATATATAAAAAAATAAAAATCCAAACAAAGAATAAACTACATAAATTAAAAATATATAACAAAATTCTACATAATGAAATTTAATGCAAACCCCTAACATAACAGATTCCAAACAAGAACCCCAATCCACTGCACTCTACTTAAATGTTGCTAAGAAAAGTGGAGGGGAAAGGAAGCTTAAGGAATCATACATATAAATATACTATATATTCCTCTCGAGCCCAAGAGCAATATCAGAACAACAGACATTAAATTCCATATGTATAAATCTATAACATAAATGCTAACGAACTTAAATAAAAATGGCTCCCCAGCCAAAAATTAAAAAAAAAAAAAAAAAAACAAAGTAACATTATGCAACTTGTAATCAGCGATTTCTTCAAAGCCAACTTCATCAAATACGAGACAAATGCCCAAACAATTCCCTCTTATACGCAAAAGTGGAAGAGGTAAACTTACGAAGGCTCAAAGGGAGCTGATTCCACGTTCTTACGACTCTAACTACAAATGATCTTTCACAAATTGCAGACGAAAACCTCGTATACAACAACTGAGGGTTCCGAGAGGATCTACACATTTACACAGTGGTAAATCAACAATTCTCATAATTCTATAATAACACAAAAGGATACGATATTCAACATAATTATAAAAGGATAGGCCAAGAAATTTAACAACAAATTGGGAAACATGATGACTACGACCCAAACCATATACATAATGAACAATGGAGTTAACAACCTTTTGGAGCCGATGCAAACGACCAGAATTAGAGCCCGAAATAACCTCCAAACAATAGTTAACCTGAGACATCAACAACGACATAGCCACCTTCACCCTAACGCCAAGAGGCAAATATGCTTGGACACTATAAAGCCTCCTAAGCTGGAATCGCACACGGGACAACAGAAGATCAATGTGGGTCGAAAAACTAAGTTTGGCATCAATAATTACACCTAGGCACTTCATTTCACCAACAAAATTAATAGTAAAGGAACTAACGCAAATACTAGGCATAGAACCGTCATAGCAACAATTGAACAAAACAGCTTCAGTCTTATCCCAGTTTATATCAAGACCATTGGAAGAGATCCACATAGAGAGAGATTGCAACGTTGTGTTAGCCAGATTCTCCAACCTGGCGAGATCAACACTCCTAAAGAAAACATGTATGTCATCCGCATACAAGAAGAGACTACAATCACTAGCAGTAACAGAATCCATGATGTCATTAATGAACATAATAAAAAGTAATGGGCCTAGTACAGAACCCTGCGGGACTCCACACCGGATTAGACCAACATCAGATTGGACACCCTTGTGTACAACAAACAGGGATCTACACTCCAGATACGACGAAATTAGTCTACAGGCCGAAACGGAAAATCCAAATTTGACTCTAAGCTTGCGAATAAGCAGCGCGTGGTCAATTGAATCAAAGGCCTTAGACAAATCAAGACCAACAAGAAGACCAACATCAGAACCATCAAAAACATCACGAATAACATCAGTAAGGGATAATAAGTGCACCGTAGTACTGCAGCCACGCCGAAAACCATACTGAGAACTACTCAGGCATTTGTGATCATTAAGAAACTCCAAAATAGCATCTTTAATAATATGCTCTACTATCTTAGACATGGCCGGCAATACACTTATTGGACGCAAGTTAGACTGACTGTATGAAGACCCTTTCTTCGGAA